ATAAATAAATGAATAAAGGAATTGTGTAATAAAATTCCTTTGACGGGATTCGAACCTGCGACTTCTCGCTGTCAAGGTGACTGTTTTAACCATTAGATCACAGAGGCTTCATGGTTGAACGGATTCAAATTACCTCAAGATACACTCTATTACACAGTACGGAAGTTAAAACAAATAGTTGCATATAGTATAAATTAAGATAGCCGTTAACACTGTTAATTTATATATAAATCATCAAAGGTTACAGGTCATATTTATGCACGCTGGAAAAATTGTTTATTATTTAAATGTGATGGAGAAACTTACCAGATGTGACAGTTTTCAGGTTATTTCAGGTCAAAAGGTTATTTAAGGTCAAATGCTGAAAAACATGATATAATGTAATGGTACATGTAGTGTAGTGTACATGTAATGTTTGAATCTCCCCGTCGTTCATGGAATTCGCTCGAATAAGCTAGAAAATTCAATATAGTCGCCATATTTTTTTTCAATAATCATAGTAAGGGAAGAAATGACAAACACATGTGTTTAAAAACGTTTTGAGAACTTGTGAATTCCAGAAATTATACCTTGATCACATGCCTCTATAATATGCAAATTAGCTCAATTATAACAAATTAGACAATGGCTGGTCGAAGAAAGTTAATTTTCTTTCAAAATATTCAGTATATGCATGCTTCTATTTCTTCCAATGAAAATATGTTTTCCAAAAATGAAATAACATTTGACACCTAATATACCCGTAATAAGTAATTTGACCTTTAACTCCTCCCATACATTTAGAAAATAACTATTTCACTGCTTTTGTTGTTCGAACGCCTCTTGTCACTCAAAATGACATGCTACTGTCACAAAGTATACGGTGGCCATTTTTTTAGTCTAAGCTCCTACATTCGAAGTTAAAAGAAAGTTATTACAATTTTGGGCGAAGATATTCTGTTGTTACATTTGTGGGCTATGATCGTTATTACATTTGTGACACTGTTTGTTACCGTATTTTTGGGCGCCAATTGTTACATTTTTTGTGGGCATTATTACATTTGTGGGCGGTGTGTTGTTACAATTATTACATTTGTGGGCGGTGTGTTGTTGCAATTATTACATTTGTGGGTGTTTTCACATTTATGGGATCAACAGACCTTCTGCTGCCTCTTAAAATATGCTGCCCTCAACGTTATAAATTGTCTTGTCCTTACGGCGAATTGTCTTGTCTGTACGACGAATTGTCTTGTCTGTACGGCGAGTGTCTTGTCCTTACGAGTGTTTGTCTTGTCTTTACGAGTGTTTGTCTTGTCTGTACGGCGAATTGTGTCTTGTCTGTACGGCGAGTGATTGTCTTGTCCTTACGAGTATTTGTATTGTCTTTACGGCAATTTGTATTGTCTTTACAACAGTTTGTTTTGCCCTTACGGCAATTTTTATTGTTCTTACTGCGTGAGAGTGGGATTGTTCGTACGCCAATGTGTGTCTATTTTGGCCCTAATGGCCGCCCATAGTAATCTACTAGGCAATATAGGTTATCGTTTCTCGTTCCTTTTTATCGTACTGACACAAGTGGAATTTCACAATGTTGTAGGCCTATAATATATCACATAAATCACACACACACACCCCATACACCCACCCACACACGATCATTGTTTATTCAAGCACTGTTTCTAGTTGATTATATATAAATTTACACTACGTTGCTACTCAGAGGAAATACTGGTTTTGTCTCTCATTCTATTTGTAGCTGTTAACTTACGTTTACATTTTAGTTTTAGATCAACTGAAATCCAGAAAGTGTTTACGTACCACAGCATTTGTTATTTTTCAGTATTTTGCCTTTTAATTCACTTTTTTTTTAACCATGCTCTGAAATTTGCTTATCGCTTTCAAAAATGTATTTTAATTCAGAGAATGCAAACAACTTGTAAGATTTATTGTGACTTCTCTATTCATTCCACTTAAGGTCGTCTTGATTTCCAGTATCAGTACTCGCAGTATACTGTACGCCATCTCAGTGACCAACGAAAAACGTGGTTGGATTTAAAGCATTTTTGTGAATCATCACATGGTTATCTTGCAAGCTTCTCAACTGCTGATGAATTCCTTAACGTCATCATTTACATACATCAGATATACGGAAGTGGGAAATACGCAATCGGATTATCACGCCAGACAGGTTTAGATCGAGATGTCGACAAAAACTGGAAGTGGGAAACCGGAAAGGAGTTTGAGTCTTTTATTTCATGGTTTCGTGATGAACCCAATGGAAACAATTCGGTACATTACGGAGTGAAGATCGGCGCCGGCAATCGAAAAATATATGATATTCCTGCTAACACAAATCTCGAGGAGGATGAGGGATATATTTGTGAACATAATAGTTAAGTGCATGAATTAAAAATATTAGGCATTTGGAGTATGTATTATACTTTATTACTGTACATTGATTTTAGTTTAATGATAATGATGTTAGAGAAGTTAAAATATAAGCACAAACATTACCTATCTGTCAAATAGGCCCTCATATATTACTTCGAAGTACATATTCTTCACAACGACATCGTGCTGTTTTTATCATACTTCGGGTGTATAGCAATTGTTATTAAATTATATTGCGTCTTGGGTTTCCCGATTTATATATTATATTATATTGAACATAATAATGGAATCATCCATCTATTCAGGGACATTATAGGCCTACCTCCGGCCTGTGTCAAAATACGAGGGGCGATTCCATTACCTACTTTTATGGTCAGTGATAATATCCGTGGACTTGACCCTGTCCTTTGAGTTTTCCTTCACAATTGAATGTTTTCTTTCTTCGATTATGTACCCTTCCACTAAATTTTATGATGATGATCCATTCATTGGTTTTTGCGTACAGACAGAGATACCGCTGTGGTGAATACCTAACCTCCTTTATTGTAGGGTAAATAAACTATTTAACTGCGTGGATAGTGTGACAAAACAAGAAGTGAAATTTTGTATGATTTATTCATAGATCTGTATTTCTCATCTGTGAAGAATCGTGCAGTCACTATGGATGCTTTGTACATGAGATGTGCGCTGCGATGTCTGCGACAGACCGAGTGCCATGGATTTTATGTCGATGACGCTGGATGCCAGCTTGGAACGGAGATAAATGGTGACACTAAGCAACATATTATACTCTAATTAAAAGAAAAAGAAAAAGATAAGTTTGGGTATAACTTCGAATTTGTATTTCTGGTCTATCTGATGTTAAGACCTTATGTGTCTGTTTAAAGCTTGTATTAGACCACTAATTCACAATTGTTAATGTAATATCATTGAAGATGGGCGGAACTTTGTTTCTTTCTTTGGCTTGGCTTTGGTGTCTATAAAACAAAGACCGAAGACCGTTTTTCGGGTCTTCGGACTTCGTTTTGTAGACACCCATATAGTGTGTCTACAAAACGAAGAACCTTGAGAATTTCACGAACAGACGCCCAAAAAATTTCGTAATTTTGATTTTGTGACAGCCTGGCGTATTATCATCAAATAAAAGAGAAAAAATAGGGGTTTTCGTGTTATAGACACCGCTTTGGCTTCTTACAATCTTCAGATTCAGATTCAAGTTTATTTGTCCTCACGGAAATTACAAAGGTCGTTCAAAGCTCAAAATACATACAATTAAATAAAGTTTGCCTACAAATATCATAAATAAACATATATTAATATACAATACAACAGACCATACATTAAGTTAATGAAGATTGTCGTTAAGCATACGGATGGAGAGCGGTAAAAAGGATGTTATGCACCTTGATGTTCTTAGGCGGCGTCCGGATCTCAAATATTGGTATTCGGAGTGGAGTGGGTGATTAGCGTCCGCTTTATTTACAATGTTCAGTTTGCATTCATTGTCGATAGAGACCGTACCATGGAACAATCTACATGCCTTATTAATGATTACTTATAGTTTATGCAAATCACCTTTCCTCATACAACTGTGCCAAACTAAGCAACCGTATAAAACTACACTTTGCATGACTGATGAAAAGAATAGTTTAAGGATTGTTACATCTACATGAAATCCGTTTAACTTTCTCATAAAATATAATCTGTTGTTACCTTTACTTAAGTTCATTATTGAAATACATCGTAATATAATGTAGGCTGGGAAGATTTTCGTTATCTTTCCTAAAATACCGTTTTTTTTTAAATGAAAAGTAACAAGATTTATTTAGTGTTTGTAATTAAACTAAATATGTTTATATTTGTTGTGTTACGAGCTAGGGAATCTTTAACATTTGAGTCATGGTTGAGTTACTGGAGTATTGAATATCATGAGGTACTACCATTGTTTTTGGTTGATAATATTGATATTTCTGATTCTGAATAGGACAAGATGGAGTACTAACTTAAACCACCTCCCTGCTTAAACAAAGAAAAATAATGAAATTAAATTGCTTTATTGCTTGTAGTTTAAAAAATAAACCTTCTTTGATTGTATAAACTGTTTGAGAATTAAAAAGTGCCAACTTTAATGAGGGTGTATGTTTATACTTTCCGAGTATTTTTAATGTGAAACAGATTTGTTAGCAGATATTACCTCAACGAAATTCAAAATGTATGTCATTTTATTGCAAAAATTGGGTGGAGAAGTAATGTTTCGTTGTTACATTTGTGGGTGTTATCACATTTGTGGGCTTTGATTTATTACATTTGTGGGTGCTGTGTTGTTACATTTGTGGGCATTTTCACATTTGTGACCTATGATTGGGATTGGAAGGTAAAAAGTTTCTGAGAGGTTCCAAAAATAGTGTAGAAATGATGAGCTGTGTTGGATCCAGAAACTAGTTAACAAGAGATCCGACATGTCTGACAGATTGTGCAAACCAACAGGCGGACTAGAGGAATATATTTTTGCCCAAGTAAAAATAATTTTTAGCCATTATCTTAAAAAGTGTCAGTAATTACTTCATGATTACATGTGAACTTTAATTGTTTACTGTTTTACTTTCAAGAACACAGACAAGATTCAGAACCACAAACTGATACTGATGTTTATTAAACAGTGACATTTTATGTACACATTATGAGATGTCAACCTAGATGTCAATCAAAATATCAAAAACTAAAACAACAGAATGTTAAGTTTTGGAAAATAAAAAGGTCCCTCTCCCATAATAATCAGTCACTATGACCTGACACACTGCCATAAAACATTTTTTACAGTGGTTTCTGGCACTATGCAAACTAGTCTTACTGTGTGGGAGAAAATTCTTTGTGGGAATTATTGTGTCCAACCTAAAGCATCTTTCTAGCCAATTATGTTTATCATTAACAGGGTGTTTAGGAGATTCTTTAGAGAATATTGTGCCCAAGTTCGGATTCATATTAATAAAAATATATCAAGTGTCAAATCATGCATACACTGTTAAAGCATTTTCATTTGGTAAAGTGTGCGACATTATGGATGCAATATTCTGAAATTTTTATATTTACAAAAAGGACGAAAATGATTAAGAAGCAGATTTCAATACAAAGTTTTGTTCCTTATTGTTAAGAAAAATAATGAAATTATTCTTTCCTTCCAAAAAAAAAATAAATAAAAAAATTAAAAAAATCTGCCTTTAGCCGTCAGTTGATTTGAAGTGATCATCATCAATGGTTGAGTAAATATGACCTTCATTGCTCAAAAACTCCAGTGCATTTCTGGAATAAAAAAAAAATTGAATATGTCAAAACAGTCAGTATTTGCCAGTTATAAAGAACAACAACAAATAATTGTATTAAATATTTTATTATTAAGTATATTAATAAAAACAAAAACAATTATAATTATCATAAATAAATACAAATACAAAGGTGGAATTGGTGTTTGTACATAACAAGAATTTATTTTGGTCTTGCATTTAAAAAGTATTAATGATTGTGCCTGTATTATTACCAAAGAACTATTACCACAGAAACAAGAAAGCAAATCGCATTTTTTATTAAAACAATAATAAAAAGCAGAAAACATTAATGTGTGCACACCGTTAACCAGGGATTTACCTTCAAAGAGGCTAAAGAGAAAGCGCCCTACCAAGCCAATGATTCTAAGACACAAGAACGATAATTTTAGCATACATTTGTTATTCATTTTTACATAAAATTTTTTTTTATACATATCCTTTCCTGAGAGGAAAGGATATTAGATATAAAATAATATACAAAATATACAAGTATACAGTAAAATGGCCTACCCTAACTTTGAGAAGACAATTCATAATTATTTTGTTTGTGTTTTTTTGGTCTGATTGATCATTCCAGTGCACTTTACTTCCATTAGTGAGTGTCACCTGGAGACCCTATGATTCAAGCCTCATTATTACTAATTGTCTCCACCTCTCTGTTATCAATCAGTTTCCTCAAATGTGGGAAAAAATGCCCACAACTTAAAAAAAACATGCTTATTTTAGACTCCTTATCTTAATTTTTGTGTTCATTTTAAATCCCACATGTATACCAAATCGAACTACATGTATACCAAATCGAACTGACGCTTGGATCGTGGGCCCCTGATAATTAATATACTATTTTTGATTAAACTACACAAAAGAATTGATCTTCTGTTATGTAAAAATTGGTATAAATTTGTATTGATTGTATATATAGCTTCTGAAATTGACAAAATGTTTGGTTAAAGCAGGATATTAGTAATAAAGTTCAATTTATTAATGATTTAAAATTACTTTTACCTGACATACAAAATTATGTTACTTTATAAGGTATAAACAAAGAATTTGTATACACCATTTTCACCAAATTTGAAACGAAAATTTCCGATAAGCTGGCAACCATCACTGGGGGACTTCCAGAGCCCTAGCATTTCACTCTACGTAGTTACCATCATGGAATAATTAAACGATAAATCTAAATTACTAATGAGCATGAATATTTAAAAACGAAAAAAGAACGAAATGTTTATATTAAAAACAAGTCCAAGTTTTAAAAAGCTATTTCAATGTTTAAATATACAGTAATTAGCATGATCATATGAGTTGTCTACTGCTGCTATAGCAAATGTAACTAGCCAGCTGCTCAGGCTAGGCCTCTGGAAGTCACCCAGTGAGTTATGAGACGTTGGCGGCGTTGTTTCAAAAGAATTCTGATACAGTGGTCTATAGAAAATTGTTTACTTGAAATGAAACACTTTAAACAAAAAAAATATTCACCAAAATTTGTTTAGGAATACTCGAAATTGAGATTGAAAAAGGTGGATGGCATGAGATTGAAATAGAAAAAATATTATGTAAATTATGTTATGTAATGAAGAAGAAGTTGAGTATCACTTTCTATAAATTTGTCCTTTTTATAGTAAGTTAACAGGAAAGGTATTACCTGTGTACTTTTACAATTATCCAATAGAAAATAAGTTTATCAATTTAATGTCAACTGACAGTTATACTTTTGTAGACAAAAATTCAAAATGTATTTATCTTGCTTATAACAAAAAAAAAATAAAAAAATAAATATTGCATCTGATTTCATAAAAATTTGTTTTTATACTCAAGGCCATTGCCATATGTATTTTAATAAATTCTTTGAACATTGAGTCTAGGGGATGAAAGAAAAGAGTTACCTTCTTTAAGTAATATTGAAGTAAATTAGAAAAATAAAAAATATCAAACTACTTTACTTTTGCCAGGTTTATTTTATGAATTATGTCTTCATTCTTTAAATGTTATTTTCTTATTTCAATTGCACAATATGCAAAAATGAAATAAAGATTACGACTGGGATTGATTACAAATAATATGACCTGATTGCTAGTTAAGAAACACATTTTCATAATACTTACTTGATAGCGTCCTTCGATACACCTTTCAACCGGCTGCAAAGGGTAGTAATACTGATACCGGTCTGGTCTCCAACATGTGCATTTATCAACTGATGTACCTGATCAAAGAAATGAAAAGTAGTAAACTTAATATCCATTTAAAATATATGGAAAAGGTATGTACAAATAAACAGTAAAAGGTTGTGATCCTGATAACAAATTTATGTTGGACCGACGTACCAAAATTATGTAGGGAGAGTTTAAAAAAAATACTACGAACAGGCAGTGGCAGTCTTGAAATCGAGAGAGGGGCCCTGGGGGGTGGGGGTGTGCACACCCAGATATGCCACATTCTCAAATGAGTATTAGGAAACAAGTTTACATGAAAATATTAAATATGTATTGTTCCCTGAAAATAACAACCATAAAAAATAACTTTGAAATTAATTTGCTCATTTTGCAGTAACAAAGTATGCATATGATATAAACAGATAGATCTATATGTTGAGATGTATATGTGCAGTCTGTGCGCCTGTATGTATACATATATGTATGTTTATACAAATGTGTATGCATGCAGGCACATGTGGACAGTGTACTTTATGTGTTTATAGTTCAGTTATAGTTTTATTCTTTTTTTCTTGCTTTTACTATTTTTAGTTAAGATCGTTTTCCTTCAAATTTGTGTGTCTGTAGGACCACACCACAGTTTGTGAGCTCCACCAATAGAAATTAACGTGAGCATAGAAATTACTGATTTTTTTTAATGTGCTGTACCCTGATCTGTTATACTGGATAATGATTATAAAAATAATAAAACACTTCCAGTGACTGTAAGTGTTTCTATCATTTTTAGCTGTAAAATTATGGGTAAACATTTTTTTAAATATATACTAATTTTAGGTTCAAGTTAATAATTTTTATATTACTTGAAAATAAGCAAATTAATTTCAAAAATGAATTTTATAATTATTTCATAATTTGTTTGGTATTTTGTATGGGACAATACATCTTTAAAGGATAACGTCCAAGAAAATTATTCTGCATTCTGAGAAAGAAAGCATATGAAAATTAACCCATTATTATTATTATAAAATTTCAGCCAAATAATAAAAGAAAGTGATTTCCAAATTAAATAATTTCAAGAAAAGAAGTTTTACCTGATTTTGAACACCTGTCAGACCATTGTTTCCTCCGCCATTAAATGACGCTCCTCCTCCTCCCTTCATTGGGGTTACCATCATACTGGTTGACTGACCAAATCCACTTGACATCTGGAACAGAATAGTAATAATAACACCATTAGTTGTTTTTGACCGAATGATCACAAATGCAGTTGTAATGTAGTTTGATTTATTTAGCGCTTTATACAGAAACGGTCTCAAAGCTCTGACATGTGGACTACATCGTACAGTAAACTGCTTCTCCCCTATGGGTCTCTACGTATCTGAGCTACCCGGTAAAGCGATACTAGCTACTCTAGTCTGTCCACAACAGGGCCTGTATGGACCAGTTCACTGGGTAGCCTCATATACAGTACTGGAAAAGTTTTATTGCAAATTTTAAAAGCATTCAACCCGTTGTGTTTTCGTTGACAACGCGTTGGGCATTGTTGTTGAAAGCTCAGAAATTATTTATTCAGAATTCAATGCGAAACGTTTCTAAATAAACAGGCACTTACAAAATAGACATTTGTTTCTTACGAACTTACATTGTAGTAAAGAAATAAGGGGATTAATACAAGAATTATTACGGTCGGTAGTTGGATTGGAGCTGTCGAGTTGTAGGATAGCCATGGCCCAGACCTATTCTGTATTTGACGACGAATATGATATCGTGTACGACGTAAGCAGTATAGATACTCCACTAAATAATTCAATAATAAAAGAAAAAAACAGAAAGATACACAAAAAAAACCCAAAGTGACCCCAGGCCTCAAATTTGGGGATTTTATGGGCAAGGCCAAATAGAAAGTCACCAAGGCCAAAATTTAAAATATAAAAGGGCACCAAGGCAAAATTTGATTTAGCTTCAGTACTAATCTCTCGCAAGTGCCTTGATTCGTAGCCAGGCTAGGCCTAAGCCAAGCCAAGCTAGGCCTAGCCAAGCCATCGTTGTCAATGGTAAAATGACTTTGTTTTATTAACTATTATGGATTCAATGTTGGAATATACTTTTAGTTTTTTGGGACGATCGGCGATCGTAAACAACTGTCAAAGTTCAAGAAGTTCAATATCTGATGTTGTTGCTCAGAGCGTCATCATCGGAGAGGAGGCCACACCTCTAAACTGGCCATCATCAACTAGATTAGCCAAGTGTCAACCAATTAGGTTAATTTCACACACTTGAGCTGCGATGACGTCAGATCGCCCAAAGCTAGCTGCACAACAAACACATGTTTACTGCAATTACCACTCGAGTCAGACGCATGCGCAGACAACGTTAACCGCAAAAACAGTTCATATCAACACACATTGAAATTCTCTCATGTTCAACCTTATCTAGGCCTAGGCTAATCTAGGCGACCTACGTTTTTGGCTTTCGTGTTTATTTAGATTTATTTTACGTGTCAAACGTAAAAAGCGTCGTGAGGGCACCAAGGCCAAGGCTGCAAAAGGGCAGGCAAGTAGTGGCCGTCGTCATGCTTCATTTTCAGGGGCACCAAGGCCAACTGGGAGGGCACCGTCGGCAATGGCCGCCGTAAAATTCGAGGACTGTGACTCACTTAAATATATCTCCTCAATAAATCTAAATACATTAGGCCTAATTTTAGACTTCTCATTCTTTTCTAAAAACGTTCACGCACAGTACACTCAGTCACTCTGAACTTTGAATTGAATGAAGATGGTGGTTCATCATCCATGCTACCTTCTTTTCTTTCGTCACACTTTTCATATCTTGTATTTCTCCACAAATGATATTTCTTTTAAAACCATAACACAAGAATTTGTCATCATAATGGTAAACTATTTTGTCTTCGTTAACAAATGAAAGGTTGGGTACGAATATATTTAATTAGCCAAATATTTTTTAGTCGCTCGCGGTGGACCGATACAAGTCCATCGTACGACCGTGATGCGGTCGCATGCAGAGCACATGTTCAGCGTGGAGTGTTCAGTGTGAGTGTTGCATTGTTGCGTCTCTCTACCACTCAGTGGCTCAATGTACTGCTACGCCTGAAAATGAATTCTACTATAGTTAATTGAATATTAATATAGTATAAATATATATTTATACTAATATTGTCTACACGGTTGAAAAATTAAAACCGTTTTGTTGTAATCTGTACGATGGATCAAAATCAAACAAGCAAGCTAGCAAGTAGCATTACTAATTAGCAACAAGGACCAAGCAAGGGCCATCGTCGTCGATCCAGGGACCAGGTATCTGTGTGTTGTTTTTGAAAACATGCACCGGCACTGTATTTTTCGTAATCATAGGCCGATCTATTGAAGTGAAAAAGGTACGTAATTATTGTGAATAGTTTATACGAAATGGAAATTAATAATGCTGCAAAACAAGAATTCGGACGGTGCCTCAACTACTGTGTAGTAATAATAATAAATATAGGACCAGGCTAGGCCTGTCTACATTCGGTATCGTTAAACGTTGTAAACTACCCATAGGCCTAGTCTAAGGCCTGGCGAGTGCACCAGAACAACACAACGCAATAATAAATGTTGGGTGATTCCTACTGTATATATTTACCAATACTTCGGTTTCCAAAATAAATCGATGTTGTTCATTAGTAATCATTGTAACACCGTCACTAGATTATAGGCTAGGTTGTTGCATTAACTGTCAACAATAAATGACACGTGAACATGGCTTTGTTAAATAAACAACACCACAACAACAGCGGGTAAAATGCGTTGTGATTTTTGCAAGAATACTGTCCAGTACTGTACTACTCATCTCGAAAGACGTACTGCGTTTGTTAAAGTGCACATGAGCCAAATAGTCTACACAGGGCCTATTGTTGGCCCATCTGCATCAGAATAATTAAAAGTCTCTTACATATTAAGTTGCGGGAAAAGTTCCCTCGTTTTGCAACCCCACCGGATCTGCCAATGCACAATTCTAAACAATGATGCAGCAAGTTACAGGTTAATTGCCTACCTTTACCATACGTCATGTGCCAAGCTTTTATATACTGTACCGTTGATTAAATACTTTAAAAATAAAAAAAAATAGAAACTTTTGAAAATCTTACATTTGCTGCTGCCTTGGTATGTAACATGTGACTGTGTATCACTTCGAGCATGTGTAATGATATCTCATTAAGATCAAGGATCGGGAGGATCTTGAATACGCTCAAGATGCGCTTGTTGTTAAACACTCGCACGTTGCCTGCCACCCTAACGTACGTGTTCTCCTTGTGCATCATAGTTGTAGTTTCACCTTCGTCCTAGAAATTTACAAACAACATGTTAGATTACTTGTGAAGATCTTAATAATTGGCCGTATTCGACTGGTCGTTCTTCGTTAAACCACACCCACCTGCGCAGTGGTAAAATCCAACTTAATGAAGACGACCAGTCAAATATAAAACTGGTAAATACTCGACAGAACAAAATGGCTGCATATTTACTGCGATACACACTGCGTAATCAAGGTTACTTCAGCTTGTGGCAGCATGGTTTTTTCGTAAAAAATATTTTCATCCAGTTTTTGAATTCTGTTAGCCTACAATAATTTTTTCGACTATAAGTGGGTAAATATATGATTTTTATTTTCTGAAATTTATTCTAAATCATATTAAACGCACAAGTTGTTGCTAAACTGACCAATTGGCCATGTTTGTTTTGGTGATAACACCCCCTAGTTTACGTTAATTTTTGTTGTGAATGAAGTATATTTTACGAACCAGTCGAATGAAAATAATACTCAACGAAAAAACGTAGTCAAACGAATAAACCAGTCGAATAATCCCATTAAATAATAATTACTTATTCTCATGAAAATTGGAAATTTAGATTCAGCACTTAGGAAACGCACAGCAGCAGAAGTAAAGCGCCACCCTCTTTAACTACAACATGTACCAGATACTTAACCCACTAACTGAAGATTATTTGAGGAGCCGAGCCTTCCAGGCTCCAATTATAAACTGACTCTAGCCTGGGTCTAGAGCACAAGAAGCAGAACATACCTCTCAGTCAACCACTCAGCACTAAGAAATTTTGTAAAAATATGAATAAATTTTATGATTGTAATAAATAAATTGTAGAAAATTTATCAGGCTCTCTTTGTCTTGAACCATAGGTTATAATAAGGCCTTACTAGGAAATTCGCTATAGGGACTCGATTGGACCTAAAACATAATATTTGGCATTCTATGGATTCACATACAATCAATCAATCATTCCATTTATAAAGCGCATCCCAACAGCCCCTGCTTGTGTTGCTGTTCCAAAAAAGAGAATTAAAAAAAAATGTGGTCATGTCTTAACTGCATATAGTGTGTGCATATTTTTCTTAAAAGGAGATCTACAGTATTCTATTTCAGAGAATTTCAGAGAATTATTTTAAGAGTGCACACATTTTATTAAATATAATGTGGTGTGGTGAATTATCTTTAAAAACAATATTTATTTATTTGCGAATTATTGAACAGCCACAATAGTTGTGAATTATAGGATTGAAACAATACAAACTTAATAAATACTGTTCATAAAGATAAGACAGAATTCCAAAAAATCAATCAATTACGAAAAACGTGAATATTGTTTATTTTACTGGTTGGCACATAACGACTGTTGATTGGTTGTTATTCTGCTTGGTTTGTATCAACTAAAAATTGTCCAATCACCAGGTGCACAACCAAGCTTGCCCATATGATAAATACCATGTTGTTTTATCTCGCACCGTAGTAGGCCTAAGTTTAATTCTAATTATTTTTAAACAATCTAAATTAACTGTTACTACATCTTATGTAGCCATTTTGAGTAAGATTGTTAATGCGCTTAGCAGCCCATGAAATTAGGAAAAAATTAGGTCGGCAAAAATTCAGCAATTCTGGCTCGGCCATATGGTCGGCAATTGCCGATTGCCGACGTGAAATTCGTTGGCTGCGCTTAGTAAATATTAATGAATCGTACCGTTGTGTCACTCCACTGTCGTATTTCCATTGTAGGTGCAGTCATGTCGTCCAGTTCGTACAAAACACATGTAGCCTGGACTTCAATCCTTCTGACCAGTCCGATAACAGTCACCTATCAAGAAATATTTTAGAAATTACAGAAACTACCATTATCTATCCATCATTGTAACTAAGATGAAAAATCAGCCTTTCCATTTGATATAAAACATATCTTTAAAAGTTAATCATGATGGCATCATTTTATAATAAATAATATTATAATTCTGGATTTATATAGCGCCTCACGTTGACACAACCTCGAGGCACCTAACAACAACAGAGAAGAAGAAAAATTAATTAAGTTCAAATGATTGGTTTGATGATTATCAATAAATGTTATTATTACAATGCTTTGGTAATAGGAATCATTTCAAGGCCTGTTACTTTCCTATTCATCCCAAATCCTTTCATTTTTATTTCCCTTTTGCTTCTTCCTTTCCCTTCAAATGTTCCTGATCTTTACTTTCATGTTTCCTTATCTTATCTTTCACATTCCTTTCTTAGATTCCTTATCTTTCCTTTCATTTTCTTATAATTCATATCTGTCTTTCATATTTGATTCTTATATTTCTTATCATTTCTTTTCTTTTCCTTTCTAATGTTTCCATGTCTATCTTTCCTTTCTTTTCTCTTCTCGTGCTTCCTTATCTTTCCATTTCCTTATTCATCCTTAGTTTATCTTTCCTTTCACTTTCTTTTACCTTCCAATTTTATAAAGCAGTGCCATAATTTTGTATATGGAATGGTTTGTTTGAAATGTTTGTTTGTTGTTTGTGTTTTAAACACAATCTAAAGGCCATTTCTTCAATGCGTATCATATATAATCGTTTTACATTATAAATTAAAATATATTGTATTTTATATTTAATTTCTGTCCTGTTATAGGTGTTTTACACTGTTGGATGCAATAAAGAAATAAAGATATCATGGAAAAAAAAAATTCTGTGTTTACTTAGCTCTACATCTGCACTAGAAAATGAAGCCATCGTTAAACATGACATAATACTTACACTTCAGATAATGACATACCTGATGAATGTTCACATCACCAATTCTAAAGTAATCGTCAACCTGTTCCGACATCTTTATTTGTGCAATTGTACATGGCATAAAATTCTTTGGTTTGTCCTAAAAAAAACGAATTTATGTCAATTTCATAAATAAAATGTCATTAACAAATGGGTATTGAAAAGTTTAATTACACTATAAAAATGACAAAGAATGTTTAAAATATAAAATATTTTTATGTAAAGTATTTATTAATTTTATAGTTAATTAAAAAAAATACTAGCATCTATGTTCAATTCGTAAAGGATTACTGTATACTAAAGTTATTAGCAACATTTTATGAATAAAGACATAATAATAGTTTTGTATGAAAAAGTTTATTAATTTTATTGTTTATTCGAGGAAAAAATAAAAGCTTATGGGCATTAATTCAAATAAATACGGTATTTTATTTAAAACAAACTCTGAAATTACCCCAAACACACAAAATGACCTCTACTCCTATAAAAATTATCCCAATTTTGACCACCTTTTAAAATAGTACTGTCTGCAATGAGGCAATATCTATGCTATTGTATCACAGATGGACAAAGTGCGGCCCGATTTTTTCACGGCCCACGAAAATGACATTTTTGGATAGAAAACACCTTGTTTTTTTATGGCCTACACCGATCATCTGTAAAAAGTAATATTAAAAGTAAAGAAGTATAAAGCAATGCATGGAGGTTTTCGGAAGCATTAAAGTTTGGGTGTGGCCCTCTGTATTAAATCAAAAATTCTCTGTGGCCCTCCGGCCGATTTTTATGCCCACCCCTGCTAAATATATTTACCTGTTTCTGTGTACTTTGTGATGCATCAAATCCACCAGGGGAGTTGAAGTAGCCACCCGACTGAGTGCTTTGTCCAAATCCTCCTACAACATGATAAACACCATTTATTTATATTACTTTACTCAAAATTCTCAAAGCAGTAATGCCTAAACATATTACCTGTCTCTTATACACATCTAGATGTGTATAAGAGACAGGGTTATAATAAGGCCTTACTAGGAAATTCGCTATAGGGACTCGATTGGACCTAAAACATAATATTTGGCATTCTATGGATTCACATACAATCAATCAATCATTCCATTTATAAAGCGCATCCCAACAGCCCCTGCTTGTGTTGCTGTTCCAAAAAAGAGAATTAAAAAAAAATGTGGTCATGTCTTAACTGCATATAGTGTGTGCATATTTTTCTTAAAAGGAGATCTACAGTATTCTATTTCAGAGAATTTCAGAGAATTATTTTAAGAGTGCACACATTTTATCTGTCTCTTAT